AGTTGATTTGATCAAATTCCGAACTGCAACCCTGGGCTCAATACTTTACCCGACCCTAGCCCTAACCCTAAACCTACCCTAAAACCCAATTGCAACCCTAACCCTTCCCTTCATCTTACATGAATACAACCACAGCAAATTCACTGAACCCACGGTGGATCACAAAGTACTTGAATTACAATAATCATTGTCAACATTGATCTTTCATAGCCATCACATTTAAGGAGAGGAATTACCTGTAAACTGAAGGCATACGTCTGACACATCTTGCCATGTTTGAAGGTGTATGTGGTAGCATTAGAGGTCAAGTAGCTGTCTGTTGACCGTTGACCTTTAGTTGGTAGCCAGAGATCTTTGCTCCTCCAAAAGCTTGAGGTTTCTCCCATTTCAGTGAGATCCCCTTGAATGATGTTGAGCTGAATGCGATGAAATGAAATACCTATTCAATAGCACATTTCACAACAGGGTTCAACTGGTGCATAGGACACATATGCCCTCAAATGCTTATTCCAGACAAGAGGACACCCCCCAATTTTAAAATTTTACTAGGGGGTTCCTTCATACAGAAGTACTTCAGTCTGCACCCCCTATGAAAAGCAGCATGAAGCTATACTTATGATGTCACTGCTACTATGCTACCGTGGTGCCTTTAATAAGAAATGTATAAAATTTTAATTTGAATTAATACCGCATGCCTTTATGCTTCTTTCTTGTTTGATTATATTTCATTCTATTTCAACAAGTTTGCCCCGTCATTGAGGGTAAAGAAAGAAAAATGTTAGCTAGTCTAAAGCATTGTAAATATAGGTTATATTCATAGTAAAAGAGATTTGCTTATTCTTTTTAATGATCTCTTTATCCATACAGAGACTCAAAGAAATTGATTATAAATTATATATTTAAAGAATTATGATTCTTCTATATATCTTGGAGTCCTGACCATTTTAGATTGATTTGGGCCATATACCCCCCTCCCCCCCTCAAGTTAAACAGTTTCACCGATACATTATTCTTTCACATCTTGGGGCACATACAAGTACCATTTCAAAAGATCCATACAGGTTAATTTTCTCACCTCACATACAGCTGTGGGGTGCTGATCTGTGATGACGTCTGTACGATGAGCTGCTTGGATCGACACACCTTATGATCATTCTTATCCAGGCCTGTGATGGTGATGAAGTGGTTGGTTCCAGGATTGCAGTTCTTGATGGTGAAAGTGGTTGCAGTTGGACTCAAGAGGGCCTCAATTTCCTTGAGAAGATGAATAAATATAAACTTGAACGAATGAACGACGTAGATATCCTGATAGAATTGTATTTATATTTATAGTTGTATATCCTTTATTCTTTAAATATTCATTGTAATTCTGCTTTTTATTGTAATTTTTTAATTTGTATTATCTGTAAAACATGACAATTCAGCCATCCGACTGCAAAAATATATGTTTTTGATAAATCTTGAATGTTGAATAAAGTTTGCCGCCTAAACTTTAACGTTTAATTGGCACAGACCTTCTCATCAACATTTCAAATGAATTTCATTTAAATACATTTAATAATTCACTTCATCATTGTTGTAAAAATGTGCGTAGAAATTACCTTTGGTTTGGCCACACTGCTCCAGTGAACTTGTAATCGCTGTACCTTGCTTACACTCTCTACAGGAGGAAAACAAGGAAAATGATTGGAAATGTACTGATATTATATCAACAGAGAAAGGTGTAGATTTAATGACTAATATTGTCTATAATTGAACCTTATATTTTTATGAAGGGTTCTTAAATTAGTCAATTTAAAAATTGACAAAAACAATACCAAACCCCTCTCCCTCCCCCCGATACCATGGTTGAAATCTATACACATAAATGGACAATTTCCAAAGTGCTTCCTTTATTTACTTAGTTTCTGTTTGATGTAGTTATGGTATAAAAACTATAAGCAATATATTTACTTGTATCTAGAAAAACAAAACATATTCAGCTGACAGTGGGAGGGTAGTACAAATGCAAAATCAGTCACATGTTATTCAATATCTAAGCAAAACAGCCTACAGTGAAAGACATATGTAAGATAAAACTCCTGAAGGGTTACCTGAGCGAAGAAATCCCAGCATATCCCTATTGTATGAGAGGTGACAGATGTGAGCTTCAACTCAATATCTTCGGAACAAGCTTAGAACTGGATGTTTTTCTTGTCGACAAGAAAAACATCCAGTTCTAAGCTTGTTCCCGAAGATATTGAGTTGAAGCTCACATCTGTCACCTCTCATACAATAGGGATATGCTGGGATTTTCTTCGCTCAGGTAACCCTTCAGGAGTTTTATCTTACATATGTCTTTCACTGTAGGCTGTTTTTGCTTAGATATTGAATAACATGTGACTGATTTTGCATTTGTACTACCCTCCCACTGTCAGCTGAATATGTTTTGTTTTTCTAGATACAAGTAAATATATTGCTTATAGTTTTTATACCATAACTACATCAAACAGAAACTAAGTAAATAAAGGAAGCACTTTGGAAATTGTCCATTTATGTGTATAGATTTCAACCATGGTATCGGGGGAGGGAGAGGGTTTGGTATTGTTTTTGTCAATTTTTAAATTGACTAATTTAAGAACCCTTCATAAAATATAAGGTTCAATTATAGACAATATTAGTCATTAAATCTACACCTTTCTCTGTTGATATAATATCAGTACATTTCCAATCATTTTCCTTGTTTTCCTCCTGTAGAGAGTGTAGCAAGGTACAGCGATTACAAGTTCACTGGAGCAGTGTGGCCAAACCAAAGGTAATTTCTACGCACATTTTTACAACAATGATGAAGTGAATTATTAAATGTATTTAAATGAAATTCATTTTGAAATGTTGATGAGAAGGTCTGTGCCAATTAAACGTTAAAGTTTAGGCGGCAAACTTTATTCAACATTCAAGATTTATCAAAAACATATATTTTTGCAGTCGGATGGCTGAATTGTCATGTTTTACAGATAATACAAATTTAAAAAATTACAATAAAAAGCAGAATTACAATGAATATTTAAAGAATAAAGGATATACAACTATAAATATAAATACAATTCTATCAGGATATCTACGTCGTTCATTCGTTCAAGTTTATATTTATTCATCTTCTCAAGGAAATTGAGGCCCTCTTGAGTCCAACTGCAACCACTTTCACCATCAAGAACTGCAATCCTGGAACCACCACTTCATCACCATCACAGGCCTGGATAAGAATGATCATAAGGTGTGTCGATCCAAGCAGCTCATCGTACAGACGTCATCACAGATCAGCACCCCACAGCTGTATGTGAGGTGAGAAAATTAACCTGTATGGATCTTTTGAAATGGTACTTGTATGTGCCCCAAGATGTGAAAGAATAATGTATCGGTGAAACTGTTTAACTTGAGGGGGGAGGGGGGTATATGGCCCAAATCAATCTAAAATGGTCAGGACTCCAAGATATATAGAAGAATCATAATTCTTTAAATATATAATTTATAATCAATTTTCTTTGAGTCTCTGTATGGATAAAGAGATCATTAAAAAGAATAAGCAAATCTCTTTTACTATGAATATAACCTATATTTACAATGCTTTAGACTAGCTAACATTTTTCTTTCTTTACCCTCAATGACGGGGCAAACTTGTTGAAATAGAATGAAATATAATCAAACAAGAAGAAGCATAAAGGCAATGCGGTATTAATTCAAATTAAAATTTTATACATTTCTTATTAAAGGCACCACGGTAGCATAGTAGCAGTGACATCATAAGTATAGCTTCATGCTGCTTTTTCATAGGGGGTGCAGACTGAAGTACTTCTGTATGAAGGAACCCCTAGTAAAATTTTAAATTGGGGGGTGTCCTCTTGTCTGGAATAAGCATTTGAGGGCATATGTGTCCTATGCACCAGTTGAACCCTGTTGTGAAATGTGCTATTGAATAGGTATTTCATTTCATCGCATTCAGCTCAACATCATTCAAGGGATCTCACTGAAATGGGAGAAACCTCAAGCTTTTGGAGGAGCAAAGATCTCTGGCTACCAACTAAAGGTCAACGGTCAACAGACAGCTACCTTGACCTCTAATGCTACCACATACACCTTCAAACATGGCAAGATGTGTCAGACGTATGCCTTCAGTTTACAGGTAATTCCTCTCCTTAAATGTGATGGCTATGAAGATCAATGTTGACAATGATTATTGTAATTCAAGTACTTTGTGATCCACCGTGGGTTCAGTGAATTTGCTGTTGGTTGTATTTCATGTAAGATGAAGGGAGGGTTAGGGTTGCAATTGGGTTTTAGGGTAGGTTTAGGGTTAGGGCTAGGGTCGGGTAAAGTATTGAGCCCAGGGTTGCAGTTCGGAATTTGATCAAATCAAC